AATCGAAATCGGCTTCGGAGGTATTTCGCGTAATTCCACTGTGACTTTTTTGTCATCGTATCTTATGAATTCATCTTTATCTTTACCTATAATTTTAAACTGCAGTGTTTTCATACCTCGAATATCACTAATAGAAGTGCAATCCCAACAATAGAGTTGATCAGGCTCAATTGGTTTTGCCTCTTTTTGTGTATTCATTTCGGTAGTTTTATTGGCAGAGCTACCAGTGGCTGCTGCGGCGCGCGCTTTACTTCTAGTCGTTATACATATTTTAGCTTTTTCTTTTACATGACATATCGTTTCTTCGTCTTCATCCGGATTATTCAATTTATGGCTGGACATCTTGTCTTCGGTTGTAGGTATTAAATTCCTTAAAATGTTACTGTCTATTCTAATTCTAGACAGGGCATCAGCATTAGTGTTAATCTTTCCTTTTTTATATATTATCTCAAAATCATAGTCTGCTAAATCGATCCGAATCCTTGTCATTTTTGAAGAAGGATTCTTGTGGACAAATAATGAAATCAAGGGTCTGTGGTCAGTAACAACGTAAAAGTGTTTGCCATACACGTATGGTCTGAAATAGTTTATTGCCCAATGTATTGCAAGTAGTTCCTTTTCAATGACTGGTTTATTTAAGTCATGTTTTTGTAAGGCTTTGCTTGCATAACAAATTGGCAAATCTGAACCAATGTTACCTTGAGATAGAACTGCACCAAGTGCATAGTCAGAAGCATCCGTTGTTATTATGAACGGTTTATTGAAATCTGGGTATTTCAATATTGGGGGACTCATTAAAATCGATTTGAGACTTTCGAATGCTATGTCGCACTCAGTATTCCATATAAATTTCTGATTCTTTCTCAATAGCATATTTAGAGGTTTCGCTATTGACGCAAAATCTTTGATAAAACGTCTGTAATAATTACAGAAAGCAATGTATCTCCTAACTTCATCTACATTTGTAGGTTTAGGATAACTTTGAATGACTTTGTATTTGGCTGGGTCTGTTTTAACGCCATGTTCAGTGATTAAATGTCCTAAATATGTAACTTCGTGTTTTAGAAAGTTGCATTTTTCAGGATTTAGTTTTAAATTATAATCACTTAGTCTTTTAAAGACTTTTTCTAGATTAATATTGTGGTGTTTTAGGCTGTTGCCGAAAACAATAATATCATCGACATACAAAAATGCTTCATTTTCAAGGCCTGTTAACGCTAGCGTTAGCATGCGTTGAAAACTATTTGAACTTATTTTAAGACCAAAAGGTAGTCTTTTAAATTCATAATGACCATTGATGGTTGAAAATGCAGTTTTTTGCCTTGATTCTTCATCTATTGGAATTTGATGGAATGAACTAGTCATATCCAAAGTTGAGAAGTATCTTGCTTTTCCAAGCAAATCAAGTATGTCTTCTAGACGTGTGAGAGGGAATTTGTCATTTACTATTTTGTTTTTTAGTTTTCTATAATCAATTACGAGTCTCCACTTCTTTTCGTCGTCCGATGATTTCTTTGGTACAAGTAAAATCGGTGAATTGTAGGGGCTTTTGGAAGGTTGTATGATATCATCGTCAAGTAGTTTTTGAACTTGCGATTTGATAACATCATTGTGACTTTGAGGTAATCTGTAATTTTTTATGTATGTTGGGACATCGTCTTCAGTAGAAATATGTTCCGTGTAAAAATTGTTGCAGGAGATTTGTTCTCCTTCCCTTAAAAATATGTGTTGGTATTTAGTTACTAATGACACTAGTAATTCATCATCACATTTGTTATGTTGAGTTCCTAGTTGTAGCTTGTTTAAAAGGTTTTGTAGACGCAGTTCGTCATGTTTATTAAAAGAGTTTTTATTAACTTTATAGTAATTATTTAGTGGGCGGGTTTCAAATTTTAGCATACTAAGGGTAACACTATGTTCATTCGTGTTTAGAATTCGAATGTGACAGTTTCCTCTGGCTGGAAGTATTGTATTTGCATTGAAAACACCTTTGTCAATTTCTTGAGAAATTAACAATGTATCTTCATCAAAATATAAGTCTATGGGGAGTATATGTTCTGACCTTGCTTGTAGAACAATTGGTTTACAACATATTGGCACTGTTATTTGCTGTCCTTTATTGGTAACTGTTAATGAAAAGGTATAATAGTCAATATTACATTTAAACTTTGTTAAGAAATCTCTACCGATGATGCCATCCACCTCAATTGGGAAGTCATTTTCTACTACCGAAAATTTGTGTTGTATTGTTATATCTTCAAATTCCATCTGAAGATTCGTGATGCCTAGGGAATTTCTGCAATCGTTGGTGATACCGAATAATACACATGTTTTACTTGAGTCGTAGGCTAAGTCAAATCTATTTTTAATTATTGACACATCTGCTCCTGTGTCGATTAATAATTTAATGTCAGTGTCAGCATCTTTGCATCGAATTTTTATGTGGTTGGATATGTTAGGATTAAATGTGTAGATGTTTTTTCTTATTTTACCAGAGGTGAATTCTACTGGTTTCCCTCTGGTGGATTGTAGTTTTCCTGCACTGCCATTAAACGAATATTTCTTTCATTGTAACCGTTGTATCTGTTACTGCTTCTAATGTTGTTATTACCTTGTCTCTGGATATTGATATTATTTTGATGATTTTGATTTCTTTGGGTATTAAGTCGATACGTGTTACTGTTGTTGTAACGTTGGTTTCTATGACCATTATTGTTATTATTATTATTGTTGTAATAACTTCTGTTATTTGAGTTATTACTAATATTGTTATAGTGGTTTCTTTGACCACTGTTATTATTTGAATTTCTGTTGTTAAAACGGGAATTGTTGTTATTTTGTCTACTATTATTTCTATTTATTCTATTGTTGTTATTGGGGTTATTACCTCGGTAATACAGCATCCGTTGATTCTGCTCAGGAAAAATTAAACTTTCTGCTATTTCCTTGCTTGTTGGAAAGTCTTTGGTTGCGCCATTTGTACTGCCTGCGAGTACGTAGCATTGAGGCCTTTTTTATATGCCAGTAATGCGTTCTCTTCGTTCGTGGCTAACATTCCTTCCGCTTGTGGAGAATTTACGTTGTAATTCCTCTTTAGTAAAGACGCCGTATTCAGATCAGATAATAGTTTGGCAATTCTATCACTATAATCTGTGATTGATTGGTTGTGGCCTTGTCTGGTTTCAGCTATCTTTTGTAGAAGCGTTGGCACTGTGTCCTTTGGTATATATGTAGACTTTAGTTTTTCTACCAATAGTTCCACTGAATTTGGAAAACCTATCGGTGAAACTCGTAACCTTACATTGTGGTGTAGTTTGCACTCCACAATGTGTTCTAAGAATTCCTGTTTATCCTCGTCTCTTATTTTTTTTGCATAAAACTGTAACCTCCTTAGAAAAGAATTTAAATCCTCTATCTTTCCTGTGAACGTAGGAAGGAGTTTCTCTACGCTCTCTATCACCGCGTCGTATGTCGTCATTCTATTCGTCGTACTATTGTTAAAGTCTAAAGGTGTATTAACTACTTGGTTAGTGGCTACTTCAGGTGTAGTCATTTTTACCAGATATTTTCTCGCTTGTATATATTTTTCAAAGAAAACTTCTTTTAAAACTGAAGCCTCTTCTAAGTTTTTAGTTATATGAATTGATTCAACACGATTCTTTAGATAGTCTAATCTATCTAACTTGATAGCTAAAGTGGGTTTCGTATACCCTCTAACACTAGCCTTTTTAGCGTTCTTTAAAGTAGTTTGTACCTCGCTTATATAAGTAGCGATATCTTCCATAAAAAAAAAGAAGTATATAAAATATTTTAAGTACGTTTATGGTCAAACGAATCAGTAAAGATCAAGGAAAGAGTGGAACACGTTTAAAGTAACGAAGTAATTATGAATGTTGGTAATGAAACTATACATATATATTAATTTTCAAGTTTCGAAGGAAAAACACAAATTATATTCTTCATAGAAAAAATAAAAAAATTTTGTATATATATATATTTTTTTTGTTTTTACATTGTATTTTTATATTTAATTTATTAAATGGTAATATATTTATTTTTAAATCGATATAATTATAATAATCATTTAGATGTAGTGAAAATATATTAATAGTTTATTGTATTGATAATAATTAATTTTGATAATAGTTATTGTGTTGACAATAGTTAATAATAATTATACATTTCATATATGCTGACTTTTTTTAATTAGCTTTATTATAAATGAGTATTGGGCTATCAGTCAGATTTTGTAATTTGGTTTTTTAATAAAAAATTTTTCTTATTATTTTACTTATTTAATATTTATTTCCGACGTTTCGGTTTTTTAAAACCATCATCAAGGAAAAAATTTTAAAACAACTGAATAGAATAAAATTTGTATATAAAAAATATTTTTGACAAATGTTTTAAATAATTACAACGGAGAATATACAATCAGTTTATCTTAAGAATGATTTTTCTAGCAATGCACAGTAAACAACAGAAATATTTTCTATATCTCGCCGCAAATTATATGTGGGTTTAGTCATTATATGTAAGGACTCTAGGGTAAGACGTCGAGACAAGGAAGGTTCAGTATCAATGACTTTCACTGAAGTAAAATCTGGGTAATGATTTACATCAAGAAAGTGTGAGACTAAAGCTGATTGTTTATCCGGATTAATTTGTTTTAGACTATTTTTATGTTGACTTATTCTTTTATGTAATTGATTTTTTGTTTGTTGAGAACTGTCGACCTAGTACAACAACTTAGAGCATTGAATAATCCAATGATCAACAAAATTGCACGTAAATTGCTAACAATCACTCAAAAAATAGCTAAATCTAGTGCATCTAAAATGTTTTTATCTAGTTGTCGTAATTATGGTTTCATCCCCAAATTTATCACAAATATCCACTATAATCATGGAGATTCAATATTAAACAAGAACTGCATTGAACAATTGGAAATTGTGAACTACAATTACCAAAGAAAATTACTAGATATTTTTATAAAAGACATGGCTTGCAGAGTTAAACAAAATATTAAATTTTTTACTAGAGAATTTAATACTCTAAAATATTTGCTAATTGATAACCAATATCTATTGAAACAATTTGGGATTGCTTTATTCAATAATAGAACTCAGTTAATAACACAACTCAATGAAAAAAAGCAATTCAAATTTGAAAAAATCAAGTCAGAATTCCTTAAGAAGAATAATTTAAAAATTGGTAAGAATTGGTTTTTCAATTTTACAGATATAAAATTTCCCAGTGAAATACAATGGTTATTGTCTCTGAGTAATAAGTTTTCCTTACCAATACATCAACATAATTTTCCACTTTTCCAAACTATTTGTGATATTGAAGATTGTATACGTTTAGTTTCTGATGAGAAAGAGCGAGATGTTATGAGAGCACGTATAACTAACATTTTAATGTCTAATAACATTAATAGAAATAATTTCCAATATTCAAGGAATAACAAAGACATCATAATTTCACAGTTCATCACTAAAACACATGATGATTGTATCCAATTCTTACGTAAAAATAAACATATTATCATCATCCGAGCTGATAAAGGAGGATCTACAGTTGCACTTAAACGCTCCGAATACGAAGAAAAAATGATAAGTATTCTTAACGACCAGTCTACTTATATTAAAGTTGAACGTAATCCTCTTAATAAACTAGAAACTGAATCTAATAACTTAATTCGACAGCTCTTTAATCTCAATGTTATTGATAAAGCACAATATCAACATATGACTAGACACAATGTGTCTATTCCCAGAATTTATGCATTACCGAAAGTACATAAATCTAACCGTCCACTGCGCCCAATTGTATCAACGATTGACAGCCCTTCATCTCAGCTTGCAATCTATTTGAACACCATATTGAGCAAAATTGTACATAAGAAATATGATATCACAAATAGTGTAGAAGCTCGAGAAAAATTAACTAACATTATTGTTGAAAATGATGAAGTTCTCGCTTCTTTTGATGTGATTTCACTTTTTCCAAGTATTCCAATGGATTTAGTGATTAGACTATTAGAAACCAAATGGCATCTTATCCAACAATATACAACCATGCCTCAATACCTTTTTTTAAAAATTATACATTTTGTACTAATTGATTCGACATATTTTTTGTTTAAAAGAGATATATACAAACAAATTAATGGATGTGCTATGGGCTCAAATATTTCACCTACCATCGCCAACATTGTTACAAATGAAATCTTTGATGTGACAATTCCCAAATTATCATTTAAACCTAGAATTGTTTTAAAATATGTTGACGATATTTTCACCATTGGGTCAAAAGATAAAATCCTTGAATTTCTACAATTATTAAATTCATTTCACAATCGCATACAATTCACTGTTGAACATGAATTTAATGGAAAACTTCCCTACCTAGATTTATTAATATCTAAGAAAAATAATCGAGAACTAGCAATTGACTGGTACCAGAAAGATGTATTCTCAGGTAAAATTCTTAACTATTTATCACACCACCCACGACAACAAAAAATGAATGTGATTTACAACCTTTTTTCCGCATATTTTCTATAAATGACAAAGAATTTTACGTTACTAACATTAATAAAGCTTTCAACATTTTGTCTGATAATAACTATCCTCGCAAAATTATTGTTAGTCAACTACATCGAGTACGTCAACATTTTCAACTTTCAAGAACTAATCACCATGAGCAGAGTATACAAATTCCTATGATTAGAAGATCGATGATATATATAAATGACCTATCAGTTAAAATTGCTAAGATTATCGAAAGGAAAGTAGACAATTTAAAAATATCCTTTAAACCATTTGCACAAATTCAAAAAACTATATATACCAAACTGAAAGATCGTATTGAAACGAACAACATTATTAATTGCATCTATGAAATTCCATGCACTGGAACTGATAATAATGGTCAAAAATGTGAACTCTGCTATATTGGCCAAACAAAAAATCAATTACATAAAAGAATAAGTCAACATAAAAATAGTCTAAAACAAATTAATCCGGATAAACAATCAGCTTTAGTCTCACACTTTCTTGATGTAAATCATTACCCAGATTTTACTTCAGTGAAAGTCATTGATACTGAACCTTCCTTGTTTCGACGTCTTACCCTAGAGTCCTTACATATAATGACTAAACCCACATATAATTTGCGGCGAGATATAGAAAATATTTCTGTTGTTTACTGTGCATTGCTAGAAAAATCATTCTTAAGATAAACTGATTGTATATTCTCCGTTGTAATTATTTTAAACATTTGTCAAAAATATTTTTTATATACAAATTTTATTCTATTCAGTTGTTTTAAAATTTTTTCCCTGATGATGGTTTTAAAAAACCGAAACGTCGGAAATAAATATTAAATAAGTAAAATAATAAGAAAAATTTTTTATTAAAAAACCAAATTACAAAATCTGACTGATAGCCCAATACTCATTTATAATAAAGCTAATAATTATACATTGCTAGTGTTTAAAGTTGTATGTACATGTTTATGTACATATTTTTTTATATAATTATTTATTCTATTCGCAATGTACAAAATAATAAATACTATTAATAATGTTATAATTACTACCTCGAATTTTCCGGTCGATGTTGTTGTATTTTGGTTCTTCAAGTTGTTCGTGACGTCCGTTTTCTGCTGTAGGTTGTTTTGAGTATTATACTCATCGCTCGAAAACCACCCCATCTTTTAAAACTGTTTCGGAATTGTTGAAGAGAAATTGTAAGTTGAATTATAAGTTGTAAGTTGAAATGCTGGATTTTTGTTATTATTATTGTCAAATTTTGATGAACATTTTATTGGTTTTGAATAATATTTCTAATGCATATTATTTATTTGAATAAAATTTCTGATGCACATAATTTGTTTTTTCTTTTAAATAATATTTCTAATGCATATTATTTGTTTGAATAAAATTTCTGATGCACATAATTTGTTTTTGAATACAGTTTTTTACTATTTATTTATTTTTTTTTTTTTTTTATGAACTTTTATGTGTTAAATAAGTCACATTAGCAATGTTTTGTTCCTTGCATTAGCAATGTTGATCTCTTAAGTACACTTTCAGTTTTATTGCTGAATATAAATCACTAAATCACTAAGGTATATGATTCAATTTTTAAGGTTTTAAGTTTTAAATTCACATTATAATTTAATTAATTTTTTCTCTTTAGTTTTTTTTTTTAGTTTGGTCCTTGCCTTTCACAATTTGGCAGGATAAAATTCACATTATAATTTAATTAAGTTTTTCTTTAGTTTTTTAGTTTGGTCCTTGCCTTTCACAATTTGGCAGGATCGCCATGTAAAGGATTCTAACTTTTACAAATCAAGATAATAGACGTGTTCTTTTTGCGTGTTGTCACAAGAATGTTTTTATTAAATTTTATTTCTTAACTCTAACATCAATTCTTACAACTAATTTCCAATAGAATCTTATGTATCGATTCTATTGGTTGATACTTACATTTACTTACGTCTAATTGGTTAACCCAAATTAGACGTACATAATAATTTACAAATATTATTTATTTACTTACTGGTCATTTATTCATATCTATTTCACAGTGACACACATCTGGTAACCAACTGTATTGAGGACAAATCATATTGCATGCATAATCGCTTGCAATATGATCTGTGAAATACTTAACACAAATTCATGTGTTTAGCATGCCACTATCCAAATTGTCAAATTGCATATTGAAATAATTAAATATGCATACAAATATTTTGTCATAAAGAAATGACAAAATAGACGAGTCAAATTTCTGACTCATAAATTATTTTATATTTGACAATTAGGTTTTTCGGTCATGCTTGATATTTGAGAGTTTTGGGTTGGCATGACACATTAAATACCGCACACAACGTATTGTGTGTGGTCATGGTTAATATGCCACTACAATGGACATCATCCAGTCTATGTTCCTAGCGATCTGCAAACCAGCAAGTTTATATTCGTGCGTGTCGATCGGGTGAGAGCTCCATTGGAACAGCCTTATGAAGGACCGTTTCAAGTACTGCAACGAGGTGAGAAAAATTTCGTAATTAACAGAAGAGGGAGCAGGTGCACCGTCGCATTAGACAGCAAGCAGTTTTCGCCATCGTCCGTAGTCAGTCATGAGCGGAAACAAGCATTCGAGAAGAAGGTTCCTAAACCGTGGGTCGATTCCTCAAAGGTTACGCGTTCTGGCCGAGCAGTGCATTTCCCAGCGAAGCTGTGTGACTACCGTGAGTAACAGTATTAACTTCTCTTCATGCGTAGCGCGCCGTCGCCCAAACTCCGTCGCTAGGAGGGGGGTACTGTAGCGACGCAGTAGACTATGAGTTAATTGAATTTTAAATGTAAAGTTCAATTTAAAATATATTCAATTTTTTAATTCGTTTAAGGAAAACGTTTCCGATTTCGCTCTTAGAAAATTTAAATAAAGTTTGTTTGTTGTTGTTAAATATTCGTGTTTTTATTGATTAGCAAAGTGTGGAGCCCTTTGTTAAACTTCCATATAATTGTCTTTTCTGTCATTCTTTTTCAATTCATAGATCAAAACATTATTACAAGCTAGTTAAAATACACACATTTTTTACTAAAAATTGCCCGTATGATTTGAATCTAATCCGGGTTTTATTTACCTAAAGCTAAAAACTAATACTAGATTCTGATTGTACAGGAAAGTTTCAATAATAATAAAATAAATGTATATTTTGGCAATTAAAAATCACCATTTAAAATTTAATTATGACGTCTGTTGCCATCAAAACCTATTTTATTGTAAAATGAAAACTAAAAGGAAAAATTAAGAAAAGGCCCTGGGGATTTTGTTTGTTTTTGATGAGAATAGTCTGTGGTCTACCACAATCATCTACAAACGAAAATCGCCAAATGCATGCAACTTTACCATAGTATTATGTTATTTTCCATCCAACTGTTGTTCCATAAACAGATTATGTACAATGATTATAAAAACCGAAGATGAAATATTGTACACAAATTTATTATAACAAATACAAATAGCAGGTAGGCGAACATTAAAATAGTGTAAAAAATTTAAAGCGAATAATTTATAAACAATCGTTTTACGAATGTGAAAAACTGCAACACTAAAATTTATTATATAAGTAAAAAAGTTAATTTTACCGATAAATGAGACATTTAGCAAGTAGTTGTCATAAAAATCTTTGCCATCGTAGTTTATCATTTCCGGACAAGCAAGGGTTTGGCTGCTACGATTCCATACGGATTTGTTTTGATGGTGTTTGGGAAGACGCATACTATCGTTAAGCTGATTTTTAACTGATGAGCACAAATCACTATGAAGTTTGTGTAGAGCATGCGCAAAAGCATAAACAGCATCTATAACGAACTGTGTTTTTGATTCCTGTTCATAACTATTAAAATAGAAAAAAAATGTAAAAATCATAGTGAACCATAGCTGTAAGTAAACTATTTAAAATTAGTTTAAATAGTTTTACTTTCTATATATAAATTTTAAATTATTTTAAAATAATTACCCATATTTTTCTGATAATTTATAACCTTCCATACACACTGGCTTTTCGTTTTGCAGTGCTTTGTCAAATGATTGCGGAAATTTGTCGAGATTATTTGAGTTATTAGCTGAAGGTGTTGCAGTTTTTCTCAAAGCACAGTTAAATATTTCTTCCCAGTATTCACGAAACCATGGGTTACGTTGATTTGTGTATGGTGTCAATTTATGCATATAATTATCGAAATCTTCTATTAGTTCTGATTGCAATTCAACAGTTATGGATCCTTCAGCAATATCTTCTAATCCATCGAGTAATTTCTGCTGTTTACCCCAGCCATCACTAGCAATCCAGTGAAATGGACGAGTTAGATTTGCTCGTTTAGCTGCCATTAGTATACTGCGAGCATCTTCTGCTCTTGTGAATAATACTACTCCTCGCGCATTCGGCTTCTTTTGAAGCTTATATAAAATGGCGTCAAATACTTTTTCATCTGCATTACTAGGTACTTTTTCTGCAACTGCAATGCAAACATTTCTTTCAGAAGCTTCTTTGTGAAATGCCTCAATTCCATATTCACCATATGAACCTTCTGAATGCACCGTTGAAATATACGACCAATTAAAGCATTTAATTATATCCACAAGTGCAACCGATTGAAAAGTGTCTGGAGGAACAGTACGTGCAAACAAATCAAATCGAGTTTTATCAGATAAAGTCTTTGCGGTGGATGCGGGCGATATTTGGGGTATATGAAACAGCCGTAATAAATTTGCTACTTGCATTGATACTGAACTGTATGACCCCCCAATAACTCCAAATACTGGACCCGATGAAGCGTTTTTACGCATTCGTGGAGTACTTTCATCAGGACACTCAAATGCCGATGTATCTAAATTGTTTAAAGACGCCCTCACAAATTGTAATGACTGATTAAGTGCATAAGTATCTCGTGAACAAGTGTCTAATATATGTACGCCGATAGTGATACCAGGTAGCAGACTGGTATCATTATTTACCCGATCAACGGCATATAACATTGCTTCCAATCGATGAACTCCACGGTTATATATTTTACGACCACATGGTGCTCCTTCTCCTTTCTCATGTATTGGAAATAATCCACCTAGAATAATATCACCGGAAAAGCTTACCGAAATCGTTTCTTGCCCATATGCATTTAAAACTTGTTCTTCATTTACAACTCGCTTAAAATATGGATTTAGTCGAACATACTCGTTTTCATAGCTAAATAGAGTATCTGTGCTATAATTGTCTTTATTTAACTGGCTTGTATTTTCTATTAATTTTGCAAAGTCGATATCTATTTCCGATGCAATAACAAAAAAGTTTAGCAATAAAAAATCAAGGCAACGGCTCATACATGTAAACCACCACATGATAAAAAATTGTTATAACCAAGTGTATTAATAACTTGCACAGTCTTTTTCCTTATGTGGAAGACATTCGGATGAATTTATGGCATCATCTGAAAACTAATAAAATAAATGGTTAGATCAGAAAAAAATGAATGCTAATGAAATTAATTACATAAATTGATCATAACAGTTGCGAAAGGTATCTTAAAAGATTACTTTGATATCCTCAAAATTACTATAAGTACATACTAAATAATTACTAAAATCTTACATTACTAAATTTTTTGAAACGTATTAACTGTCATTTTTTCTCAATGAATCACTGTTGAGATTGTTCCCAAAATTAATAAATCTCTTACGAACGTTTTTCGAATTGTGTGAAGTTTATGGTCAACATAATCAAACATAAGATTTAGATCCGAAGATCTTGGACTTCCCCATAATACCACATGAAATATTTTTTTTAAATATTTGCATTTCAAGATGCATGAAATTATGGCATACAAAACTCGCAGACATGGTTTGAGAACAAAACCCAATTTATCATAGAAAAGTTCTCTTCGATGTTGAAGTGCATTGAAACCTACACAATAATCCCGAAACATAAATACATTCAAGAAATTTACAATTTGGTGATATTTATTTTTGGTTAAAAAATTCAATGACTATGTTTCTCAAGGAGCGGGGCGCAATAGATATGTGTGTAGGAAATAATGTGTTTATTATTATGTTTGTATTATTATTTATTAAATGTTTAATTAATATCGGTAAAACAGAATAGGATCTTTAAAATATGAAAAATATCTTTTGACACGCGAGGCTGCACTTCGACACCAACCACCAACAAGAGGTCAAATCCAGCACCTTTTTGGGTGACGTAATGATGTCTTTTATTTCTTGAGCAGAAGCTGGAGGTTTGCTTATTTTTTGTCTAGTTTTATATTAGCTGATATATGCTCTTCAGCATTTTCTATCGTAAAAGTACTTTTAAGATATTCCGAAAACACCACTGCCTTATGCTGATTGCTTTTTGCTCAATTATTTTCAAGCTTTAATGGTGAGAAGTGTGTCAGTGGTCGTCTGAGGTTTTTTGTTGTGAATTCTTTTCGCACGATAAATTGGCCAGAAATGTTTTAAATGAATTGTGTTTAAGATGTCTATCCTTTGATTCAACCTTTTACAGAGTTTATTGAGCAGAGACTTGTCCCCAAGAGATCTGGTCATAATTGCTTGATTGCATTGGGATAGTTGCAACCAGTAGTAACCTGCATTATAACGGGAGTACTATTCCAACAAACTTTATTTTATTTGCTGTAAATTTTTCTATATCGCTATTTAGTTGGTATTCATATTCTATGACCATAGCAGGCTTTGTCATTAATTGATTCGCAAGTGTTTTATAAAGCTTCCAGTCTGTGAACTTATTACCCAGAAAATACGGATTTTCTTTTTTTAGTATAGAACTGTACATATTTAAAAACATTGGGGAATGATCCGAGCACAGATCAGCTTCATCCTTAATTTCCATAAAGCCTTTAAAAACTTTTCTTGAAATAAAAAGTTAATAAGATCAAGTATCTTACTTGGATCTGTGGACCAGATTGTTGAATAGCTTTTAAAAATTCCGAACCCTTGTAATGAACCTTTTCTGGTGGTTCGTTTAGAGCTGGGATAACTCAGTCTTGTCCAAGGTCCTCACAAGAAATTTGTTTTCTCTTTTACCCTGTCACTGCCGTTGAATTCTGAAGGACTGAATTGGAGGTAAACTAAACCGTTCTAAACAGCTGAACCCCTCTCGATACTCGACACGATATAATACAATCACACGTGACTGTTAAAGCTACGTGTGTTGTATTACAGGCCGTAGACAACACGCCCTTCCCTGTACACTGTTAAAGCGTCCAGGGGTCGGAGACGTTAGGTTACTGTTAAAAGCCACCTACAGTTTCCGACACTATGGTATAGACACTCGTAACTGTTAAATCTACGTGTGTTATACTCCGTGCGACCTAGGTTCAGTAACTGTTAAAGCCCTGAATCTTGCTCACCTTTTCAACCCTTAGTTCAATCCTTCTTATCCACTTAACCACTCGCCGCATATGAGTATTAACCTGTAACTGTGTGAATTAACGGTCAAACACCTTTGCACATGAAATATTGTGAACCAACAAAAATTATAATCAATGTATTTAATTTTGAATGATATTTCTTCTAAATAAGTAATTTTTCGACAGTGTCCAATGGTATTTGTTTTCTTTGGTATTTTTTTATTTCTTAAAAAAAATCTCTTTATTACAATATACTTTCATCTAATTTACAAACGATATTTTAAGTTCTGTATTATTGACATTTAAATTCTCTTGTAAAATTAATTTATTTTAATGTTTGCATTCAAGAAGTTTTCTTTTAACAATCTTATATTCAATGTATTTAATTTAACAGTTTGTAAAAAAAATATTTAAGTTTTCTTTTATATTTAAAACTAGAATTTTTTTTTCAAAATGTTTATTTAAGTGACAGTGAAAAATTATTTTAAAATTAATTTAAAATTATTTCATATTCAATAAAGTTCCAGCAACATAAATATTCAAAACGATAGTTCACGGTGTGTATAATATTCTTTCAATATATTAGTTTACACCACATCAAATTTTATTTCATATAATTTCAGAGTTTGTCCAGTTACGTTGTTGGTGGCAGAGGATTGCGGTGAGTTGGATTGTTAATGTTTTTATCACTACTTAACAAATTTTATTTTTTTTTAATACAGGAATCTTCGAGTTAATCAATTCAAGTGAGTAATGCCTGTTGAGTATTATGTGACTATACCCACGACGCACAGTGTGACAAAACACAAAATTAGGCGGTCATAATTCGATATTTTCGGAACCAGTAGAGATATTGATATGAAATTTTCCTAAAATATAGTTTTTGAGTTGATCTTTCTTTTAAATCTAATTTGAGCCCAATCGGCCTACCGGAACTACTCGAAATTTTTGCCCAAACATGGGGATTTTACCGTGGTCCCAAGATTACTTAAAAACTATGATAGGTAGAAAGCTGAATTTTGGTGTCCAGAAAACTTACGTTATTATCTAGATTTTAACATCTTTTTAAGGTTTTCCGCCCACTGCCACACCCACCCCCCATACAAAATTTTCATATTAAATCATTTATTATCGTTAAAAATACTTTTTGCACTTATTGGACTACATATATATGTGACTTATATAGCAACACAACTTTATGCAAAAAATGGGCGTGATCCGCCTATTAGTTCCTAAGTTATTTGCAGTTTATGCAACTTTAGCGAAATTATGATTTCGTAAAAATTTAACCAACTTTAAACCCTTATAGCTTTTTTACTATTTACTCAAAAATGATCATTTTTAATTTTTTTTAAAGCTTACGATATTGTTATTCATTATGTGTAAAAAAATTTCAATTTTAATTATCAATAAAATTTTATTAGCGAAATTGCACAAAAAGTCAGCATTTTTTTCATGGCCATTTTCACTTCTATCGGCGATACCCAAAAAATGTATCCGAGTTTTTTCATGAAATTTTTCCTATTAATAGCCAAATAGTTACACTTTACAATAAAACAAAAATTGGCCTGCGCACTTTATGTTTTACACCTATTTCAGGCCTCAGAATCCAGCGAAAAATTACGAAAAATATTAACTTCAATAAACCCCATTTATTTCAACAACAAATTCAATGAGTAATAACAAAAAGACATTTATAATTTTATAAATATTTAATTTATTTATATTTTAAATTTCAACTAAATCGGTTGAAGAATAACGAAGTTATAACACATTATGTTCAGACGCCTGACCGGAAGTATGATCACAGCATTTAACCTTGAATGTACAGTTATTTAATTTTACACAAGCAAGTAATGCGTATTTGAAATATAATGAACATATATTAACTGTCATTTTTTCTCAATGAATCACTGTTGAGATTGTTCCCAAAATTAATAAATCTCTTACGAACGTTTTTCGAATTGTGTGAAGTTTATGGTCAACATAATCAAACATAAGATTTAGATCCGAAGATCTTGGACTTCCACATAATACCACATGAAATATTTTTTTTAAATATTTGCATTTCAAGATGCATGAAATTATGGCATACAAAACTCGCAGACATGGTTTGAGAACAAAACCCAATTTATCATAGAAAAGTTCTCTTCGATGTTGAAGTGCATTGAAACCTACACAATAATCCCGAAACATAAATACATTCAAGAAATTTACAATTTGGTGATATTTATTTTTGGTTAAAAAATTCAATGACTATGTTTCTCAAGGAGCGGGGCGCAATAGATATGTGTGTAGGAAATAATGTGTTTATTATTATGTTTGTATTATTATTTATTAAATGTTTAATTAATATCGGTAAAACAGAATAGGATCTTTAAAATATGAAAAATATCTTTTGACACGCGAGGCTGCACTTCGACACCAACCACCAACAAGAGGTCAAATCCAGCACCTTTTTGGGTGACGTAATGATGTCTTTTATTTCTTGAGCAGAAGCTGGAGGTTTGCTTATTTTTTGTCTAGTTTTATATTAGCTGATATATGCTCTTCAGCATTTTCTATCGTAAAAGTACTTTTAAGATATTCCGAAAACACCACTGCCTTATGCTGATTGCTTTTTGCTCAATTATTTTCAAGCTTTAATGGTGAGAAGTGTGTCAGTGGTCGTCTGAGGTTTTTTGTTGTGAATTCTTTTCGCACGATAAATTGGCCAGAAATGTTTTAAATGAATTGTGTTTAAGATGTCTATCCTTTGATTCAACCTTTTACAGAGTTTATTGAGCAGAGACTTGTCCCCAAGAGATCTGGTCATAATTGCTTGATTGCATTGGGATAGTTGCAACCAGTAGTAACCTGCATTATAACGGGAGTACTATTCCAACAAACTTTATTTTATTTGCTGTAAATTTTTCTATATCGCTATTTAGTTGGTATTCATATTCTATGACCATAGCAGGCTTTGTCATTAATTGATTCGCAAGTGTTTTATAAAGCTTCCAGTCTGTGAACTTATTACCCAGAAAATACGGATTTTCTTTTTTTAGTATAGAACTGTACATA